CACTCCTGTAATCCCAGCACTCAGGAAGCTGAGGCAGGAGGATCACTGTGAGTTCGAGACCAGCCTGGGCTACACAGTGAGTTCCAGGTCAGACTCAACTACTTAGTGAGACCCTGTCTCAAAAAACCTAAATAAATAAGTAAATAAATAATAGACCATCATAATGAAACAATTATTTAATGACCACACCCAATGTATGGGGACATACAACAAGACCCATCCAGGTTGCCTGGGGCAGGGGTGCAGGATATCTGGGAAATCTTCCAGGCAGGCAATTTTAGACCTGAAATCAAAGAATGATGTGAGAATTTCCAGGTAGACCAGAAAAGAGACAGTAAAGCATGGTGTGGGAGAGAACACAGCAGGTCCTGCTCACTGCAGGTGAGGATTTGGCATCACAGGCCTCGAGGCAGAAGAGAAAGAACCTAACAGGATGAGACCAGGCTGTAACAGGAAAACTCGAAAGCTTAGATGCCTCAGTCAGCTTGGGTGAACCTCCTTCAAAGTGTGTGGGGCTAAGGGTGTTTCAGCTTGTGGTTTTCTGGTTTTCTCAGATTTTGGAGTATTTGCATTTGTACAATGAGATATCTCTAGGAGAGGCTCCATTCTAAAAGTGAAATTTCCACACATTACTCATATACCTCATACACACAGCCTGAAGGTAATTTTAAATAATATTTCTAGTCATCGTGTACATGAAACAAAGCTTCATGGTGTGGAAGTTTCCATTCACGCCTTCTTGTCAAGACTCCAAGTTTCCGGTTTGTGTTTTTCAGACGAGGAATGCTCAGCCTGTGTCGGAGATCAGGATACACTGGAGGTGCGCATGGAAGGCTTTAGAAGGGTCAGCTCTGGCAATGTGGATGCTATATTGAGTACCAAGTCTGCAGGGGATGAGAAGAAGGTGAGGGAGGGACAGCAAGGAGTGCCCAAAGAGGCTTTCCCTCCAGCCAACTACACTGCTGCACGCTCCTCACTTCAGACCACCATTCTTTTCCTTTTTCTTTTTTTCTTTTCTTTTTTTTTTTTTTTTTTTGAGACAGGGTCTCACTATGTAGTTCAAGCTGTCCTTGAACTCACTGTGTAGGCCAAGTCGATCCTCCCGCCTCAGCCTCCCCTGTGCACCACCATGCCCAGCCAGACTACCATGTCCTGTTGGGTGGCTTTGTTCTTACATCCAAAAATGTTCCCACCCACCAACTGCTTCCGATTTCACTCATGCAAAGCCAGCCTCTCCTATGAGTTTTCTCTAAAAGCTAAAGTGAAAAATCGCTTCCTGCTCTAATTCCTATAACATTTTATCTGTGTCTATTCTAAGGCGCATAGCATTCACTCCTTAACAGTGTACTTCTTTTTGTTTGTTTCTTTCTTTGTTTTGTTGTTGAGACAGATTCTCATTAAGTTGCCCAGGCTGAACTTGAATTTTTGATCCTCCTGCCTCAGCCTCCCAAGTGGTGGGATTAAAGTGTACCTCGACAATTAAAGTGTACCAGCCAAGTATACTTCTTGATGCTGTTGCCTTGTCTGTTCTACTACTATAAACCCGCAGAGAAGAAGGGAGCAGGGGAGGTAAACTATCAGGCATGTGATTGAAAAGCAGACTTACGCAGCTTCCTCAAGTGTCTGCTTCCTCCTGTGTAGGACGAGGTGAGGAGAACGTGCATTATGAGATCATGTTGAGGAACAAACGACACAAGGGATACGTGGCTCCTGGCGCAGAGGCTGATGAGACGTGCTCGGTGGGGTGGCAGCTAATACCCGCCCAGATCCGCTTCTCCAGGGCCACCTCTGTAACCTCACCTGCACAGCGAGTGGGTCACAGCCGGAACTGAGCACAGACTGGGTGGATGAATGTGGCTGACGTTACTGAGCCAATGCTAAGCCCTATCCCGAAGGCTTTCTGCCGCAGATCTCTTCGAAAGCTCCAAATAATCCTTAAATCAAGTACCATCTCTAGCTCCATTTTATATCTGATAAAATGCTACTGAACTTTAATGCTCTGAAGATGATAGACTTAGAATTTATAAAAGAGATTCTTTCCAGGCTGGCTTGGACCACTCAAGAGAAGTGTCCACATTCTACAAGATACTTATGCCAACGCCCATCATTACTTAAAATTCTCTTAAAAGATCTTTCATGAGTTACCCTGAGAACTGATCTCCTACTCCAGCTAGGGATTGAACCCAGGACCTCTGCACTGGGCGATATCCCCGGCCATTTTTTAAGTTTTTATTTTGAGACAGGCTCTCCTCAAAGTCTTCCGGAGTGGGCTTGAACTTGCAATCTTCCTGCCTCAGTCTTCAGAGTGCTGGGATTACAGGCCTGCACTGCCATATCCGGCCCTTTTTAAATTTTTATTTTGAGACAGGGTCTCACTTGTTTTCCAGGCTGGCTTTAACTTGCCAGCTTCCTGCCTCAGCCTCCCAAGTAGCGAGATCACCAGCATGCACCGATGCATCTGCTTGAACTGTATAACCTGGACATTTAACTGAGTGGTTCTTCAGCTTCTGCACTGGTCCAGCTCCACGCGTGGATTGAGGCCACTGACCCAGAGGGACAGGCCCTAGAAAGGCATGAGGCAGAGCGATGCCGGAGCAGAGAGGACGTCTGGCTGATCTTTACGGAGCCAAGGCTCGGGGCTGCAGGTTTTTGGTGTACCAGGACTGGAAGGGTAAGAAGGTCTGCAGCACGATGTCTGTCAGGGCCCAAACAGGTCACACAGAGCACCAGCACTTGCTTTTTTAAACCAGTGTTGTCCAGTCGCTGAGCTCCTTTCAGTAACTAGAAAAACTGGACAGCAAGCCTTCTCAGTCCGGGTCCATTTCCCCAGGGGGACACAAGATGATGACTGCACTGTCAGTTGTAACAGCTCAGGGCTGACACTAATCTCTACCTGGTAGGGGCCAGGACCGCTGCGAGCACCCTCCAGGCCAGGTACAAGGAGTCGCTAGAATTTTAGCCTCCCTGCAAGTGGACTCTTTGAGCCAGCCCTAGCTAGCTAATGCAGTGTGGGGCTTTTTTGTTGTTGCTGTTTTGTTTGTCTTTGTACCTGGGATCGAACTCGGGCCCTGCACTTGCAAGGCAGGTGTGGTGCCACCAAGCTAATTCCTGGCTGCAGTGTCCTTATTTCATGTCATCTGCAATTATCAACCAAATACAAAGAGAGTACTGATTTGCAGGAACTCTCAACTTCTTTCTCTCTCTCTCTCTTTTATTTGTTTGTTTGTGTGTTTGTTTGTTTGAGACAGGTCTCTCTCCATAGTTCAGGCTGGCCTCAAATTTACAACAATCCTCCTGCCTCAGCCTCCCAAGTGCTAGGATTATAGGTGTGCACTACCACAGCTGGCCTGGAGCCCTGAATTTCTAAACCACTGCTTTAGGCAGATAAATTCTCTTATCTCCCTAGGTTAATACCAACAGAAGAGCTAGCTGAGGAGGGCTGGAATTGCCTCTGGCCTTGAGACAGATCTGCTACATTGTCTCTCTAGTAACAAATAGCTGTCCCATCTCTTTCCTGATCACAGGGAAGACTTCATACCAACTACGGTATACTGTGGATTATTGGGTTCTTATTTTTTCCTTCTGGAACTAGGTTTCTCAGTAGTGGTGGCCAGCCATCACAGGCCAGTTACAACTTTCAAACTCTGACCATCAAAATTAAAAACCTCTACTCCTTGAAAGACACATTAGAAATAGGAGAGGGGAAAAGTCGTTAGGAGAAAAATTGCAAAGTGCATACGTGATAAAGGACGTGGGTCTACACAAGTGTTGTTCAGAGCAGCTTTGTGTTTAACAAAAAAAGCAGAAGCCAACCAAACATTTACCAACAGATGGCCAGGCGTGGTGGCAAAGGCCTATTATCCTAGCACTTGGGAGGCTGAGGCGGGGAGATCGCCATGTGTTCAAGGCCAGCCAGAGCTACATAATGAATTCAAACCCAGCCTGGTCTATAGAGCAAGAACCTGTCTCAAAAGAGACAAAAAAAAAAAAAAAAGTAAGAACAGACTAGTAGATGCATACAATGGATGCTACTCAGCAATAAAATGAACTATTGATACACTAACTGATTAAAAGCAGCCAGAGAAAAGAGAGCATGTTCTGTAATATCAGTGCTATAAAACTCCCACAGATGAAAAGTGTGTGATACTGACAGAAGACAGATGACTGGCTCTCTGGGAAAGCTGTGGGGACAGCAGCGGCACAAGGCAGGCCTGGAAAGTGTCACTGGAGCTTCCTGGCAGTTTAATATAAATATAAACTCATCGAAGTGCATGCTTTAAATATGTGTACTTTAGCATATATCAATTATGCCTCAATTGCTTCAATTCTATCTTCATCCTTTTCAAGATGAAAAGTAGCCAAAAGAATTCATCCCGGTGAGAGCAAGATGTATGGATTGTTTTCATTTTCCCGGCTCTGAATTACACCCAGGACCTCCTGTGTTCTGAGCAAGCATGGTGTACTTAGCTACAACTTGTTAGGTTAAACAGAGCCTAAAACCAGAGCAGACCAGGACATAACAAGTCTTTATTATGAGGAGGATCTGCCAGGCTGTCTCTGAACATAGGAGAGAGAGCAACATGGCAGTACAGGGAGCTTCTTTATAGGAGCAGGGTGGGGTTAGCCTGAGCTGGGGAGGAGATGAGTGAGGTAGTATTAAGGGATTGGAGGAGACTGAGACATCACTAGGAGAGGCTTGTGACATCACTAGTTGCTAGGAGGTAGCAATTGTCAGGTTAGCTCTCTTGGTGAGAAGAGGAGCATGTTGGGAATAAGAAGAGAAGCCATATTTTAACATGGTGTTAAGGGAAGGAGGCTGTATTCCATATAGTAGCCATTTTAAGACGCAGAGCATGATGGGAAGGAGGAAGCTGCTATTTTATGTAGCAGCCATTTTAAGGCAAGGGAAATCTAACATACCTCAGCTCTCTTTGTGTTGAGACAGCATCTTGCTAAGTTGCCGAAGCTGGCTTCAAACTACTGATCCTCCTGCCTCAGCCTCCTAAGTACTAGAAGTACAGGATTTGCCACCACACCCAGCAAAAATATGTCTGTTAGATCATTCTTCTTACTTTATATTTTTCCAAAATATTAATCCACAAGAGATAGGAAATTTGAAGAACTGGTCCTTCATCCCACATGATTCCACGACAAACATCTAATGACAAGGAGATCATCACCAGGTATGTGGTAAACAACACAGTACCTGGAGAATGTCCGGAATAACCCTGCACTTGCAAAATGGACTACAAGTGGAAGGGTATGGACAGGGTTTCTCTGAGTGGTACCCAGCACAGCACCAGGTTGACAACTGAAAAATCAATGGCGGAGCCAGGGGAATCTGCCTCTTCTGTATTCAGAGTAACTGTTTTCTAAAGCGATCTTGGAATACTTTGTAATGTAAAGAATTAACAAAGTTGTAGAGGATTTTAGTTTGTTGGGGAGTGGGGTATTCATTTGTGGTACTGGGGATTGAACCCAAGACCTTTGCCCTGATCTACATCCTCAGCTGTTGTGACTTTTTATTTTGAGACAGGATCTTCCTAAGTAACTAAGAAGAGTCTCCTGCTTCAGCCACTTTGAGTGGAAAGTCATGGGTTTAATATATGAAAGAATTAAAACTGGGTTTTATTTTGTTCTTTATCTGAATTGTTCACTCTATTTAGATTATAATTCTTAACATTTTTTATAAAGAAAGGGAATAGTAACTGTTTTTTGTTTTGTTTGGGGTTTGGGTTTTTTGTTTGTTTGTGTTTTTGAGACAAGGTCTCACTATGCAGTCCAGGCTGGCTTCAAACTGATACAGTTCTCCTGCCTCAGCCTCTCAAGTGCTGGGATTATAGGTATGCAGTGCACCACTGCACCCGGCAAAAATCAATTTTAAATTGCTATAATTCAATAGAATGTTTTTGTATTTTTTGCAAATAAAATATCTAAAACGTGTACTAATAAAAATTTAAAAACTGGGGAAAAAAAAAACCAAACAAATAAAATATCTAAAAATTTGCGAGTGATCCTCCATTTCTGCATCCTAAATGGCTCTTAACACACTTAGGAACTTTTAAATAATGTAGTAGTTTTGGGTAGCGAAAACAACAGAGGATCTCTACCTGTGAGTAACTCTGCTCTCAGCCAGATTTCCACAGTAACTAACACTGTACTGTGCACGTATGCAGATGACTCGAAGGTAACATTAACAGGAGAAGTAAAAATGTTCACTTGTTTCTTTTTTCCTCTTAAAAAAACATAAGGCAGGGGGAGGAAATCATCTAATTGTACTGTAGCACCAAGTCCAAAGGCAGGACAGCTGTTTCCTTGGGCTGTAGAGCTCAGCGGCTTTTTCTGAGCTGCCTTTTGATGTCCTCTGTTATTCAAGACTGCACTTGCGGGCTCCGCCGGTTTAGCGCTCAGCGCTGGTGGCTTTGGTTTCCTCTCTCACTTCAGCGCCATTTCTTGTTCTCTGCTTTCCATGTCAGCGTTGGCTGTACAAGTTCCTTTCCATCTACTTTGCCTTTCTCTCCAGAAGTCTGCTCTCAAGAGCCGCCCTCTTGGTGGTGAAGTAAATTTGGTGTTTTTTGTTGTTGTTGCTGTTGTTTGAGACAGAGTCTCACTATGTAGTCCACCCTGGCCTCAAAATCACGGGGATTCTCCTGCCTCAGCCTCCCAAATGCTGCTATTACAGGTGTGACATACCTGGCATGTCACATTTCGTAAGAACAATTTTTAAGAACCTATTCAAATTTGAAATAACCTATCTGGATGAGATTAGGAAGTTCCTGATTTAGAGGGACAAAATGGTACCCTGGTCATATTTTTTAAAAAGTAATTTATTTTTTTTACAATACCAGGGATCGAACTCATAACCTTGCACTTGCGAGGCAGACATGGTGCCACTGAGTTAAATCCCCTGCCCTTAAAAAAGTAATCCTTAACTGATACATACTGAAATATTTACAAATTAAATAAAATGCGATTTTAGATTTAGTTCAAGTAGTTAAGAGGAGAAAGACAGGAAGCAAGTGAAAGTGTAGCTAAATTAAAGCTGTCTGCCAGTCGATCATTTTTAAAGCTGATTAAGAGGGTTAATGGGAGCCAGACATGGTCACACAGGCCTGCAGTCCTAGCACCATGGAAAGTTGAGGCAGGACAATCACAAGTTTAACCTTAGCCTGGGCAACATAGGAAGACTTTGTCTCAAAACATAAAATCTTTTTTAAAAAGAGATGGGCATATAGTTCAATGCAAAAACCCTGGATTGAATCCTCATTATAGGGGGAAAAAGAAACAAGAGGGTGAGTAAATATTCATTATACTGTTTTATATTTGTTTGCAAGCTTCCATAACAAAAAGTTTCAAATATGTAAATTTAAAAGCCATAATTCCCTTGGTACAGTACCAAGATGTTTTCTATGACATTGTAGTGACAAATCATTAGAACCATATTTATGGCCAGCAATGAAGAATGCTTAACATGAACTGTAATTCATGTGACTGTCTTCATGACATTCCAACATAGAGTTGGTCAATGGAGCACATTTCTCTCTCTCTCTCTTTTTTTTTTTTTTTTTTTTTTTTTTTTTTTTTTTTTTTTTTTTTTTTTTTGGTACCAGGGATCGAACTTGGGACCTTGCACTTTTAAGGCAGGAAGCAGAATCCCCAGCCCAATACAGCATAATGTTAACAGCAGTTAGAAGATATTTGGATGATATTCCAAGAGGAAATCTCACTGAACAAAAGCGCCTCAGCACAATACCACGCCCCTAAGAGGGGAGTACAGGTCGACCTGGGACTCTGGGGTAAGTCTGCTGACGATCCTGGTGACTACGAACCAGGGAGGCTGACACACAGGGTGATGTCACCACTTCCTGCCCAGGAAGTCAGGGGCGGGGAGGAGAGCCCTGTGGCAGGTAAGGAAGATCAAAGGCCCAGGCACATGGGCTTCTTTCCCTTTATTCTCACCTTAAGGTATAAACATCAGGAATGTGCTATCCTTCTGCTGCTTCTGTGGCTTATCATACTTGGCCTGGATGAAGGTTTCTCCAGGCAGGACAAAGCCTTCTCTGAGGCCCTGGGGCTCTGGGGTCTCCTCTATGTATGACAGCTCTGGTCAGGAGGTGGGAGGTCAGGAGCTGTTTCTCTCTTCAAGAGGATTAAGGAACTTAGCTGGGCTCGCTCACTGTTCTTGGTAGGGCCAGGCTGGCCACATCCTGCCACAGATCCCGTCCCAAACAGCCTGGGAGAGCTTCTTTGACCCGACCTGCTTGACTCCTCTACTCTGATGACTGGCCCTACAGAAACAGATGTGCTATCACGGAAAGAGTCCGGGGGTGGAAATTGGAAGGCCCAGCTTTCTCCCTTAGTTGCTCTGTTTCTAAGAAGAAAAACAAGTCACTGGACCTTCCTCAGCATTCTTTACCTCACGTAAAAAACTTGATGTAATAAAGGGCTGGGATGTAGCTCAGTGGCACCCTCCCTGCCTCACAAGCACAAAGCCCTGAGTTCGATCCCCAATACCAAAAAAAATTTTAAAAGAAAAAATAATGTTTTAATGATGTAATAATACCACATTAGAGCATAACAGATAGGTGATGGGTGTTAGAGAACCTGAGACGTACCCTGGCCGCTAGGATATGCTAGTGATGTCTGAAAACACCCTTGGCTGTGAACCCCAAACTTACATGATTATATCTGCTCCCAGACCTCGAACTTCAAGTTCATTTTGACCACTGTTTTATTTTTGTGTATGTGTTGATCTTTGTTTGTTTTCTGAGTGTCTTCTTTCTGTTAGTTTCAAAAACTCTTCCCCTGATCACAATTTAGTGTATGATCTTTTATTTATTGATTTTTATTTTATTGTACGGTACCGGGGATCAAACTCAGGACCTTGCACTTAGGAGTCAGGTGCGGTGCCACTGAGCTAAATCCCCAGCCCTTGTATGATCTTTTACTACCCTGTTGTCTATAGTCATAGTATATTGGCTGCACCTCTAACAGTGCTAACAGAGATGTAATTATGGAAAATGTTTTTGTTTTCAAAAAGAAGGACACCCTCACCTTGGTCCTTCTTAGCCTCAGTCCAGGAAGATGAGAGAGAAATGCCAGACTCTCGAGTGTTCTAGTTTTTCATTGGCTCAGCTCTTCCTATGATGGCCTTATGAGAATAAATTCAGGGAGTTCAGCTCTGAGCAAGAGCTGAGGGTGTGGCCCAGTGGTACAGCCTTCCTAGCATACATGAGGCCCTGAGTTCAATCACCAGGAAAACAAAACTAAAATTTTTTAAAAACCCTTGTCAAGTTGTTCACTTAGTTCATAGCTACAGAGGTCCAACAGCCAGCTTCTGCTTAGCTCTGTAAGGTGCTTAAGACTGATGGAATCAAGCACAAGAACCCAAGTTCAATCCCCAGTACTGGGGGAAAAAAAAAAGACTGATGGCATCACAAGGGTGGGAACACACGTGAAAGATGTGAAAGCCCTTAGAAAAGAAGCCAGAAGCTGGGCGTGGTGGCGCACACCTGTAATCGGGAGGCTGAGGCAGGAGGATTGCTGTGAGTTCGAGACCAGCCTGGGCTACATAAGTGAGTTCCAGGTCAGTCTCAACTATTTAGTGAGACCCTGTCTCAAAACAACAATAACAAACAACAAAAAACAAAACAAGCTGTTCTCAGTTCTGCTCAGTTTGTTGCCTTTTAAATCTGCTCTTTCAGCTTTCACAGGTGTGTTGTTTTTCCTTTTACTCTCCCTAGAGATCTGTGCCTTGGATAAAGACATTTTATTTATTTACTTATTTATGAAGCAGACCCTTTATTGGTATATTTTTGATATTCACAATGATATTAATCATAGGGAGTTTGTACCCGTACATGATATATCTTGATTCATCCCTCCTCCCCTCCCTATTTACAAAAGCTTTACTTCCATTTCTTCCTTCTATTCTTTTTTTTTGTCCCTTCTTTCCTTTCCCACTTCCCCTTCCCTTGTTCCCCTTCTTATTTGAACATTTTGTTCCCATTGGTTTCTCACACTAGAGACAAAATGCAGCATTTACATGTTTGTATCCAATTTATCTCACATAAGAGTGTGGTCTCGGCTGGGGATTTAGCTTAGTGGTTCCTGTACCTGCCTTGCAAGCGCCAAGGCCTAAATTCAGTCCCTGGTACAAAAAAAAGAGTAAAGATTGTGGTCTCAAGGTGCATCCATTTAGCTAGAAATGTCACAAGCTTATCCTTTGTTTGTTTAAACTATAGTCTTTCTCTTTTTGGGGGGTACAGGGGAGCAAACTCAGGTCTTTGTGCTTGCAAGGTAGGCAGCAGAACCACTGAGCTAAATCCCGGCCCTAAGCTTATCCTTCTTTATGGGGGAGTAGTACTCCGATGTATGAAAAACCCACATCTTCTGTATCCATTCATCAGCAGATGGGCATTTGGGCTGTTTCCAAGATTTAGCTATTACGAACTGTGCCACTATAACCACTATTGTGTATATTGCTGTGGTACGATGTTTTTCTTTTGAGAAGTTACCAAGGAGGGCCAGGTATTTAGCTTAGGGTTTGCACCACCTGTCTTACAAGTGCACGTTCCAAGTTCCCCTGTACCAAAAAACAAAAACATGTGAATAAGAGAAGATGCCAAGGGAAATTAGAAAGATACTGAGGAAATAAGAAAGGGAATATCTAGGTAAAATAGAATCTAGTTTTAGTGTTTTGAGCAATCTCCAAACTGACTTCCACAGTGGTTACACCAGTTTACACTCCCACCAGCAGTGGAGCAGGGTTCCTTGTTCCCCACAGCCTCTCCATTATTTGTTATTGGTTGATTTCTTGATAGCAGCCGTTCTTTCTGGAGTGAGGTAGAATCTCAGCATTGTTTAAATTTCCATCTCTCGAATGACCAGTGATGTTAAACATTTTTTCTTATATTTATTTGCCATTTCTACTTCTTTATCTGAGAAGTGTGTATTCATTTCAGGTGCCCATTCTTTGGATTGGATTGGGTCTTTACATTGGGGAGGTGGGTCTAATGTTTTTGAGGTGTATTTTTGTTCGGTTGTTTTTTTGTTTTTTTTTTTGTGGGTGCTGGGGATCGAATTCAGGTTCTTGTGCTTGCAAGGCAGGTGGCGGGAACCACTGAGCTAAATCTCTGGCCCCTTGAGATCTTTATATATTCTAGATACTAGCCCTTTGTCTGAGGAACAACTGGTAAAATTTTTTCCCACACTGTAGGTTGTCTCTTCACTCTGTTGGTGGTTTCTTTTGCTATACAAAAGTTTTGCTTATTTTGTTTTGTTTTTTGCAAAAGCTTTTTAATAAGATGAGTTCCCAGGTGTTAATTCCTTGTGATAACTCCTGTGCAATCTGGATTTTGTTTATGAAGTCTTCGCCTACATCAGTGTCTTCAAGAATTCTTCCTATTCTATCTCCCAGCAGGTTTAGTGTTTCTGTTTTAATATTTAGATCTTTGATCCATTTCAATTTCAGGTTACTTCATGGTGAGAGATATGGGTCTAGTTTCAATATTCAGCATGTGGAAGGCCAGTTTCTAGCACCACTTATTGAAGAGGCTTTCTTCCAGTGAAGGAGTCTGGCTCCTTTGTCAGAGATAAGGTGGCTCAATATGTTTGGGGTTCTGCATCTTCTAATCTGTTCCATTGATCCTCAGCTCTGTTTCTTTGCCAGTACCATGCTGTTTTTACAATATAGCTTTGTAATATAATTTCAAGTTGGTGATTGTGATATCTCCTGCTTTGCCTTTGTTGCCCAGAAATGCTTGCACTATTCTAGGTCTCTTCTGGTTCCAAATGAATTTTATGATTATTTTCTCTAATTCTGTGATATATACTATTGGTATTTTAGTAGGGATTTCCTTAAATCTGTATGAAATTTTTGGAAGTATGGCCATTTTTTCTGTATTAGTTCTTCCTACTCAAGAACAAGGGATATTTATCCATTTTCTGATATCCTCTTCCATCTTTTTCAGAGTTCTGTAGTTTTCCATGTAGAGGTCTTTGGCTTCCTTTGTTAGATTGATTCCTAAGTATTTCATTTCTTTGGATGCTATTGTGAAAGGTGTTGTTTCCTTAATGTTTCTCTCAGTGAGTTTATTTGTGTACAGGAATGCTATTGATTTCTGAGTGTTGACTTTATATCCAGCTATGCTACTGAATTTGGTTATTAAATAGAAGTCTCTTCATGGAGCTTTTGGGGTCTTCGTGTAGAGTATCACATCATCCACAAATAATGATAATTCAACTTCTTCACTCCCTATCTTTATTTCTTGTATTTCTATTGTCTAATTTCTCTGGCTAATGTTTCCAGTAATATATTGAATAGAATGGTGACAGTAGGCATCCTTGTCTTGTTCCTGTTGTTACAATGAAAGCTTTCAGATTTTGACCATTTAGCATGATGTTGGCTGTTGGTTTGTCATAGATGGCTTCTATCAGACTGAGAAAGACCATCTACTCCAATTTTCCTTAGGGTTTTCGTTATGAATGTGTGTTGGACTTTGTCAAACAGTTTTTCTGCATCTATTGAGAGGGTCATGTGGTTTTTGTCCTTGGCTTTAATATAGTGAATTACATTTATTAATTTTCATATATTGAACCATCTCTACAGCCCTAGGATGAATCCTACTTGGTGATGATATTCGATCTTCTTGATGATTTGCTGTATTCTGTTTGCCAGTATCTTTCTGAGAATTTTTGCATTTACATTGGCCTTTAGTTCTCTTTTTTGGTTGGGTCTTCTCTAGTTTTGGCATTAGGATAATACTTGTTTCCAGGAATGAATTTGGGAGTATTGTTTCCCTTTCCATTTTTTTTCCCCCTTTCGGTTTCATGAGTTTGAGAAGTAGCAGCATTAGGTCATCTCTAAATTTCTTGAAGAATTTGGCACTGAATCCATCAGGGCCTTGGCTTATCTTTGTTAGTAAGTTTTTAATTACATCTTCAATTTCATTGATTGATACTGATATATTTAGAAATTTTATGTATTTTTAATTCAGTTTTGGTAATTCCCATGTATCCATGAATTGGTCCATTTCTTCTGTGTTTTCCATCTTACTGGAACATAGGTTTTCAAAGTAGGAATAGATGATCTTCTGGATTTCTGCAGGATTGTTGTGATTTCACAGTTTTCACTCCTAATTGCATGGATTTAAGTCTCTTTTTTTTCTTTTTTTATAAGATTGGCTAAAGGTCTGTTAATTTTATTTAATCTTTCAAAGAACCAACTCCTTGATTCATTGATTCTTTGTATTGTTTTCTTAGTTTCCATTGCATTAACTTCTGCTGTGATCTTTGTAATTTCCTCCCTTGTACGAGTTTTGGGGAAGGAGCTCTATTACTAATATTAGAATGCTTGGGAAATGATTACTTCTCAGAGATGTCTTCCAGGTGTATCTGGCTTTGGGGTTTTGAGTCTTTTGCAAGATCCCACTTCTTCAATTTTTTGGAGATTAGAAGTTGCTATTTGGCCTAGTCCCCGGTTCTCTAGCACTGGCCCATAGTATTGCTTATGACCCTTGGGCAATCTCAGTCTTGGTGTACAAGAAAGAACAACTTATTAGAACAACTATGTCACCTTGGCTAAAGTAGTACAATCAGTAACAACAATAGCATCAAACACAACCTGGAAAATGACAAACTGTGGTAACTATTGATTTGCCACCTTTAGCCATATGAACTATATATGAAAATCTAAAACAAAAACAAAAATAAGAAAACTGTATACAGTAAATAAGCCCTCAACATGGTGATTCTACCATTGGGGAAGAAAATTTAAAAAGGGTTAGAGGAAAAAATAGAGAAATAGAAGAAGAGGAAAAAATTAGAAGCAAGTCAGGAGGACAAAGGAAGATTATGCAAAGTTTGGGGAATTTGTAAAGAAAGGAGGGAAAGAGCAGGAAGAAATAAAAATAGGAGCAGATCAGCACAACAACAAAAAACTAGAAACAAGGTTCACACTTATATAAAAAGAAGAACAAACAATCAAGCAAAAAGAAACAAAAACAAGAAAAATTAAAAAATAAAATGTCCACTTCAAGGTATGTCTCTGCTGTCACTAGTAGGAAAATTGGGCACAAAGAGCCCAGATTCATGTTGATTAATCCCAACAAGCTATCTGTAGTTTGGTAGGGTAGTGGATAATGCCAGCGAACCTGCACTTTTGTTCTGAAGCTCACGCTGGTTTCTGTGACCCAATTTGTTCAGCCTGCAACACTCCATGTGTCTCCTGCCAGCTTGAACTTCTGCTGACTTCAACTTGACTCTGCCTCACCCTGATGGAGCCACCCTGCACCTGCTCTGAGTTCTGAGCCTAGTTGGCCCCACACCAAAATGGCTAAGAGCTAAGTGCCCTCTCCTGGGGGACATCTGAACCCAAAAACTCACCAAACGCTACAGTTCACTGCATCCACTGCTCTGTTCCACTGGTGCATTTCTCTGTGGAGGTCTCTGTGGTTGCCAGTAGTTGCTGTGGTTCTGCAGGTTTGAGCTGCCCTTCCCACGCCATGAGTGACTGCTCAAGGAGTATGTGCCACTTGCCACCTCTTTGTTCCTCACTGAAGTCTCTTTCCTTGCTCTCCCTGTGGGCTTCAATTCTCACTTCAGATCCTGGGTCCTGAGAACCCACTTCCCTCCTTTTCCTCTTCCTCACATTACTATATTCCAGGGTCTGGACACCCAACCTCGGAGAGGCTGTTTCTTTGCTGCTTACTGCTCCTCCATCTTCCCAGAAGTGTAGGCATTTTAGTGAGGTCTTAGGAGGTTACAAGATTACAGATGCACAATCTACTGTGTGTTACTTAGAAGTCTATATGAGCTTCTTAATATTCAACATATACAAATCATACATATTTCTAATTACATAAAAATGAAGCAATTCACCAGGTTCCAACTAGACACAATTATGTGACTTCATATAGAGGGACAAGTATCAGACGTCGGTGGTTGCCAAATAGCATGAAGTTTTTGCCTTCATATTCAAGGATACTAACATTCTTATAACCCAAATACTTTTATAAGGTGACATAAACTGAGATAGATAAAATACATCACAGATTTACTAAGAAAAATTACAATTTGAGTTTTCATGTAATACCAGTTACACTGAGCTTTCATTGTAATTTATGGGGTTTTTTCTTAATAGTCACTGTTAAAATACATAAGTAACATCTAGGTTTGGCCACCTATAAATCTGGTCCAAGTAACTAAAAAGAAAAAAGCTTCCCATTGATTAGTTTCACATTGCAGTGCAGAATCTAACCAAACATGGAATCTGGTTCACTTCAAAGTAGAGACTACATCTAGTAATGGAGAAAAAAGGCCTTCTTTATGATGTTACAGCCCACGAGTTAATCCAGATTGGTCTGGTGGGCTTAGCTGTAGACAGGGAAAGGAATCTAGCTAGATTTTGAAAACATTTTTATGTGTACAAGCCAGGTCATGCTTATCTAAGGGTTCTCTAATTGGATGCCATGAAGTGAGGTGCTTAATGTAAGCTACAATGTAAGGACATGACGAACTGAGGCAGAACGAGATGACTCGCAGCGAGGGAAATGAAAATTTACTGAAGATAGCCAGAACTCAAAGCATCGCTTATTTGAAATCAAGTCCTATAATTGCATTCTGGCCAGTTGGAACCTGGCATACCACTCCAGTTTTGTCTAATTGCTGTAGCAACCCTTCTCACAAAGAAACGGAAAATGTTCAAACTTAGATCATCGGTTAGTGGACATAATGATCAGCAATTAAATTGTTGCAGCTTTGAGAAGGGTTTTAGGCACAGTGATCTTTCAAAAGCTGTTTACCCTTTTAAACTAATGATATTTTTAAAATGCACAGGGATCACGTCTGCTTGCATTATAATCCTAGTTTCACATTCACACACCTTATCAACACTCCAGCACCAAGCCTACATGAATAGTGCAGTATGAAAAAGGAAATTTGACAAACATTTGATTTATTCAATTGCTGTGGTGGCGTAAGCCAATTCACACAGCATCAGAATGTCATTTTTTTTTGACATGTGCTTTTATCAACTGATATGAGCAAAAATGCAAAGGCAACCTAAGAAGGGGTAGATTCTTCCAACCAAGTGGTAACAGTTTCTTCCAAGGTACTGATGGGGCTGAGGAAAAAAAACATGGTTTCCAATGAAAATTGGAAAAATAATTCCAGTGCTAAATGATCATGTCTCCAAAAGCAAAAGAAGTTATAGTGAATGAGGCTAATAAAGCCTGAGGGTCTGCACTGACTTCTGGCAGACCAGGTTTTGAACAGGTAGCTAGCAGGAGGAGAAAGGGTAGCTTCCAGAAGGTGGGAAAGACTGGTGAGGAGACTACAGAGGTAACTGGTAACAACAGTGCTTTGGAATCCAGGCTACTGCGGTACCGAAGTATTTAGGAAGCTGAGTACATTTCAGTGCTGGGAACCAAAACAGGAATGAAGGTTAATATACTCACAAGGAAATTTAATTGATAACAGTAAGCCTATAGTCTCTCTGTCTGGGGAGAGGCAGTCCCACTGATCAAACTCAGGACCTTATGCTTTCGAGGCAGGAACTGCATCACTGAGCTAAATCCCTGGCCCATGTATCCTCAATTTTTAATTTCAATGTCTAAAAGTAAATTTAAACAAAAGAAAAAAAATTATTTTTCCTTGAAAGAATGAGAGTTTCACAGGGAATAAACTGTTATTCTTCTGATAGAGATTACTTGGAAGGCTGGGAAGAGTAGACAGTCAAATAGTGAGATCAAATAAATTCACAGGGCCAAATCACATAACTACGATTTCCTCTTTAGATCTGAGAACACCAGAAATCCCTTCCCTCCAACCACTGTGAAAATAATAGTGACAAGTGATTTTTCTTTACTTTTTAAATAAAACCCTTGTCCACCTGGCAGGGGCAAGGTCCTGAGTCAGATCCCGGTATCAAAAAATAAAATCCTTGTTTTAGAAATTTCAGATTTACAGAATTATTGCAAGAGATAATACAATTCCTGCAACCCCACTGTGATACATTTGTCACCACAATGAACAAATACTGATACATTTTCTAAATCATGTTTCCCTGATTGCAGTGAGGGTCACGTACAGAGGAGCAAGACCAGAGGCAAAGTTTCCTTCTCATCGGATCCAAGGTACACGCAGCACGACTTGTCACTGCTCATGTGGACTCCGATCACCGGGCTGGGCTGTCCAAGATTCTCCACTGTACACTCTTCCCTTGCTCACCTACAGTACTCTTGGGAAGGAGTCCACTACGTGCAGACAAGATAAGGGGCCCAGCACTGGGTTTCATTTTCTGAAGGTGGAGCATCTACAAAAATTGCTTGGTGAATTGTTAAAAAAAAAAAGTTTGGAATTATTCTGCAGACTTCTATTCATTTACATAGATCAGGGACACAGGGCTTTCATAGTTGGAGTTATAACCCAATTTTACTTTGTCTTGTTGCTTTGACAGTTCTATCACTGTAGAATTTTTTTTTTTTAAATCACCTCCTTACTTCCTGGCATGGTAAGATATTCCAGGCATATTTTGTTTCTTTCCCACTCCATATCCACAGTCAGTCATTTTTCGAAGGAGCTCCAGTTCCTTTGATTGAATGGTGTTAGAAGTCGAGATACAGGGTTACTGCTGGAGGAAATCAACTTTTATTAGGGAACTGGGTGGTTGCTAGAATACCTACTCTGAATGTGCAATTCCCAGCACTGAAAAAAAAAATCAAATTTTAACAATCCTTTTTTAAAAAGGAAAAAGTTAAAATTCAAGGCTTTTGCTTACATAATAAAATTGCCAAACTAACACATGAAGTTTAGTGTTTTAATTAATGGTGTTAAAAGGGTCAATGTAGTATTGTGAGATGGCCAGAAAAATGTTCATGAATCATTCACACCTCCCTTTTTGCTTTTAATTATATTTCAAAAATAAATCCCCGTCTTTCTTTTTGGTGGTACTGAGGATCGAAGGCTTTCACACTGAGCTATATTCCTGGCTCCTTTTTATATTCTGAGACAGGCTCATTAAGTTACTAAATCCCCAGTTGGCATCTTCCTTCCTCGGCCTGTGTCTTAAAGGTAAGTATTCACTCTATGCAGTTTGTCTAAGAATACCTGAGAATTGGTTTTCATTGACCAATTCAGCTTTAGGAATGGAATTTGCAAACTATCCTTGCTATGGTAAGTAAAGAAAAAAGGCATAACAAGACTCTTTTAGGCACTTTTTATTTTCAAAAAAAAATTGTCGTTAATATATAAACATCTCATTCTCTCAAAAAATTCTACAACTATACAGCTGTTTGCTCCATTATTTGCATAGGAAATGACCACAATACAAAAATAAGAGGGAAAAAGAAGCAAAACAGCAACCAATTTATGCTTTTTATGTAGGTATGTTTCCACGTATAAACATTTTAAGCCTCTTACAAAATTATTTACACCATTTGTCACCTATTTACACATTTTTAGAGCAACTTTTCTAACAAACAAAACTATAATTTATCAAGTTATGAAAATTGTTTTCTAAAAAAAACTTGCTATATTACCACAAAATAAATAAAGATAAACAATATTTTAAAAACAAAATTAAATTTTCATTTCAATTAAGACCCCTTTTGGCGTTTTGCTTATTCTGCCCTTTGGTTAACAGCATCGCATCACATTACTATTTTATATTGCATATATGTAGCATTTGCTTCCTTAAGTTTCCAACATACCATTGATACTTAAAGGCAGACACTGAGTCAGTATTAACAAGAGATTAACTAAACTGCACTGTAATTTAGGTCAAATTACTGTGTCTCACTGTGTATTACATGCAAAGTCCACATAAACTGTCACTTAACCAACAGTACTGCACAAGCGAACATCTCAGTGTATGAAAACTGCATCATGAGTTCAGCATTGTCATGTGAAAACTACATTAAGTCCTTTTTAAAAATGATACTGTTTAGCTTATTGTAAGAGGTTTCACTTTTGTATAGTGTAACCATCTTTAAGCTCTTCAGTTTACAATTCATATAAAACTTGTTATTTAAAATAATCCTATTTTAATCAGTGCACGAAATTTGCTTTTTAAAGTTCATTTGAATGATTATTCCTTCCCCCTAAAGAAATGAATTTGAATGTTTTGAGAGGTATCTCACCACAATTCTAACTGTAAATGTATTCATGGTTATTTTCAAAAGCAGTATGATTTTCCCCCCCAAAAGAATCCTAAAAAAAACTTCTAATAAACCTATAAAGCTGATTTGCATATTTACAAAATTTCAAATAGCAAATATAGGCAACTCATATATATTTAAAAAGGAAAAACACATTTGTTCAATGGCTATTTGTGAATTGCCAGGTACACTGGGCACCTAAGGAATTATCTCAGGGCAAGGGAACTCCCATCCTTCCTCCGGCACCCGCCACCTTCACGGTCACCCGGTGCCCAGTCTGAGCACCTCACATGCGCACCTCACCCAGCCTCACCTGTCCAGATGCGGCTGCCTATCATGAGATGAAACCTGCTGGACTGAGGGAAACCACGTACATTACAGCAAGCATTCCCGATTCTTAAAATGACCAAACACTTTGGTGTTGATACAATGTATTCCCTGTTTTCTCACATATACAAAATATACATTTCCAGTTTTTTCTTTCTCTGTTGTGATAGTGAGGCAGGTCGCTGGGGCCCGGCGGTCAGTTCTGGTGCCTTTTCATGTGCAGCGCCAGGTGGTCGGAGCGCGAGAAGCTGCGGTTGCAGACGGCGCACTGGAAGGGCTTGGCGCCCGTGTGCTTGCGGTAGTGACGCGTGAGCTCGTCCGACCGCGCGAACCTCCAGTCACAGCCTTCCCACGTGCACTTGTAGGGCTTCTCACCTGTGACAAGCAACAGAAGGGTGAGGTGCCTGCTGGAGGTCAGACATCAGGGACATCATTCTCATTTCCTTAGATCCGCACTAGCACATCCTCTCACACTCTTTTATGGATGGTACAAAACAAAAAAGTCATCTTTTGGTACCGGGAATCAAACTCCGGACCTTGTGCTTCTGCAGGGCAGGTTGCGGAACCACTGAGCTAAATCACCAGCCCACAAAACAAAATTTTTAAGCGCAACGGCTTTTTTTGGAAAGAATGTGGTTTTAAAAAAGGGGGATGGGGCAGACACAGTCCCTCCTCTTGATTAGTCCAGGCTGACCCTGAAGTTAGTTGCTGTGTTGCTGAGGCTGGCCTCAATCTTGCAGCGATCTTCCTGCCCCAGCCTCTGGGTGCTGGGATTATAGGCCTGCGTCACCATGGCTATCTTAAAGCTGAATGGTTTTAAAGCTTTATGCATTTGATATAATAAATCCCTTAACCACAAAGTCTGGTACTGGTAAGTTCACAATGGTGAAGAGTTGGGCTATGAAACAATCGCCACAACTCTACTTGCTGATATGTTCATTTAGTTTTTTTGTGTTGCACCAAGTAGCTGGGTATGGAGATGTACACCCACAATCCCAGGACTAGGGAGGAGTCCGTGACTGAGCTCTGGCTGGGTAACTTCACAACTGAGCAAGACCCTGCCTCGAAATAAAATATAAAAAAGCACTAGGGAAATAGCTCTGTGCAAAGGCCCTGGGTTCAGTCCTACTACTACAAAAAAAGAGAGAGATTTGTATATTAAAGTACAGCTGGGATTTTATATGGATAATTTCCCCCTAAATTCCTTTTAGTAATGTTTTCTTCTGAAAGAGAAGAACCTTAGAAAAGTTTTCTTTAGTACCAATGGAATTCAACAACCTTTCTGCTTAATTTAGCAGTATCAGATTTAGGGAGGTGTAAAGATTACTGGGTCTGAATTGTGAGACATGGTCCTAATCGGCTAAGGCCTCCAGCCTGCACACTTTAGTCTCTTACAATCCCACAGGGTAACAACCAAGGGCTAGGACAGGCCATGCACAATTGGACCCAGCCATTTTGCATCTTCCCCTCCTACAACACATACCTGTCACCTTTCCTCTCTCCTCTCTCTGGCTCTGATCCAAGGCATACTTTTCATTCTTTCTTTTTGGTACCAGGGATCAAACTCAGGACCTTGTGTTTGCGAGGCAGGCAGTGGAAAGACTGAGCTAAATCCCCAGCCCAAAGGCATACTTTTCTTAAAGTGCATCTCTCAATTCTGGATGTTTTCTTTTTCTCAAAATAAACTAAGATTCAAACCTAAATTTTAATATATGAGATAAATCACCTTTCACTGACAGTTATATAACTGTCTGATTCATAGAAACACTTTAGTATCAGGAGTAAATCTGTGATACACACACACACATATATGAAACAACTTTGCACAAAGTGTTTGGTTTTGTTCCTCATGAAAATAAATCATAGAACATATTGATTAAATACTAAAATTTAATGGAAAAAGGCTATTTCTGGTGTTTGAGGCAAGGAAAAGTTCCCAAAGAGCCCTGATTTTAAAAGAAGTCATTCTATTTTTTTTAACTTTAATAATTAAATAGCAGAACTGTATTTTCAGTTTATTTAAGAAACAAAGGACACTAGACTCTTTTTGTTCACTATTTTTATTGGCTATGAAGCAATAAACTGCACTGATATTTTTTAAAGTTTACCCTACTGATTGGTTGAAATACAGTAGCCCCTTAAAGTTCCTAAAAACATTTGGAGTCTTTGCTCTCAATTTATGCACATCTATAGATTAGTCAGCCAAGAATGCTGCTAGTGTCTGGAGCCGAAGTTACTGGGCCCAAGTCTTTCGATAAAAGCAGGGACAGCTTTCCCCACTTGGGGCAGTTTCTATGGGATTTGTTCAAGTGTCAACACTGTGCAAGTAAAACACCGTAGAGGAAGCTGGTACCCAATTTCTGGCCAAACAGCAGACTTAAACCTTTCTTCCTCAGCCAAAAACACTATGCACAGTACTTCTGGGAAACCAAACTGACTTCCTTCAAGTTATATTTCAACAGGATAGAGCTTTCAAAAGTTTAATTGGATTTTTACAGAATCTCTTTCCAATACCACCAATTTAAAATATTTAGTTAAGCTCTTTCAACATCAACTGTATTTTTAAGTTCTCATGCTGTTAATGTGAAACTTTCCAAAGGCAAAAGAGAAAAAAAAAGTGACAAATCTGTACAGCATCTTCAGCTTTCCCCAGAATAAAGTATGCATTTTTTTAATTCTACTTGAAAATCATAGAAGGTTTGCTAAGAATTCTTAGTCTTGCGGAAGAGAGTGTCCAAGTTAAAACCATGCTATCCATACTGATGATGAGCCATTAACGTTCTGTACCCAAGTTCTAACCAGAAACATTACCAGTAAATAAATGGGACGCACACTGCGAGCACCCTCCGGGGCAGGGCCCTTCTCACTGTCTCCTTGATCCTCACAACACAGTGAGAAGTGACCTGTGTGCTCCACACTAAGCGTCCTGCCTGCCACTTTTCCTTCATGTCCCACTTAAATCTCCCATTAGTGAACTCTCACACACTCTGAATATACAAAGAACGCACACATAATATTGTTCAAACGTATTTAAATTCTTATAAGGCCTCTTGTGCGGGATAAATAATAGCTTCATAGACCCACAACACCCCCTTTATAGCAGCCATTACGGTTCCTAAAACTGAAGCCTGTGGTGCACCCCGGCAGAGCAGCCCTTTATGGAGTCCCTCAACCGTCACCAAGGACTGCCCAGTGAGTATCCTTTCCCCAGACAGTTTTCAGTGAGGTAGCCAACTGTTTTGTATTTAAAAAACATTCCACAAAAACTAATACATCTTTCTTGCTGTGATGAACTGAAAAAATACGATTTTTGAACCTACCACAATGGAATGGGAACGGGAGGTTTTTCTGCTCTGCTGAACACCCTGAATAGATTCATACCAAGGCCTTTCTCTAGAATATTCTATAACAAGAGGAACATTCTCTAGAACATTCTATACTCTTCTAACAAGGAAAATCACACAAGGAAGTATTTCTTTTAAAACAGTTACCTTAAAAAGTAAAATAAAATAAAATAGTTACATTAAGTCACTTTCTAGAGCTTATTACACAAAATCTGTGTATCTGCTTTCTCATGACCAAAAGATTTACATTTCATGAAGACAGAAGCTAAAACCCATCAGAATTAAAGCCAGGGTGTACTAAGGCTGGCATAGCCTATACTAAATACCTTATAAAATAAGACTTGTTCTCTGACCTCAAAGAACTAAAGGATAGCAACAGGTATTGTCCCCACCATCACAGATTTGCAGAATTTAACATATCAATTTGCTTCTAATAATCAAGAGGGAAAAAATAAAGGACACTAAAAATTTCGTGGGAAAATATTCAGGTGCCTGAGGAAACTGATCAAATGAGATAATTTAGCTCACTAACTCATATTTTTATTTACCTGTGGTAGTAATTTCTCATTTAAACAATTTTATCAGAGCTCATTGAGGAGTGGTGAATGTGCATATGCCTGTAATCCCAGGCCTCTGGGAGACTGAGGCAGGAGTCCTGCCTGGGCAAACTTACTAAGAGAGACCCTACCTCAGAAAATGAAGGGTTGGCGATGTAGCTCCACGTAAGGGTTTGGGTTCAATTCCCAGTACCACTACCACTTAAAAAAAAAGGTTGAGTAGTATTAGCCTTTGCAAATACCTAATATTTACTAGACATAGCCATCCTGTTTTTAGCGGCCCATTTTGAGGGAAATAATTAAAAGGATATAATAGTGGATATAGTGGATTTATTAAGAAAGTTCCCTCCAGCAAGGAATATGTAAGTTTATCACAGTTTATCACTTTCTTTAAAACCCGATTCATTAGGCAGGTGGCCAGTTTAAGGCCAGCTTATACTGCAAAAGTGGGACCTTATCTCAAAAACAACAAGTCTAGTTCATTAATCTGTTCTAGAAAACTTCATAAGATCCTTCTAATTCTCTATCACAGGCACAAATTTATTTTGAATTAGTCTATGGGGTAGATCAGTGGTAGAGCATGTGCTTAGATTCACCTGGCCTTGGGTTCAATACCAAGGAATAAAAAAAAAATGGGCATGGTGGTGCACACCTATAATCCCATGAATCGGAGGGCTGAGCCAGGAAGATCACTACACTTTTAAGACCAGCATGAACTACAAAAGTAAAGACTCTGTCTTAAAAAACAAAACACTCTATTCTGAGCCACTGGTTTTCACTTGCACACGTGTTGCTTTATGAAGGTTTTGCCTTTGTGATCACAGGGAAAAGACTGTCTCCCAACCCTGCTGTGCCGCCACACTTGCCCTGATGCCTCTCTGAAGTAATTGGGTATGTGGCCAAAGTCAAACTAGTTTTCATCAGGAAGAGGGAAGAATTAAGAAGCCACCGTGAAGTCATCCACTTTTCTCTTATTTTTGTAGAAAAGCAGAGAAAAGTCGGGCTTTTCCCTGCAAGGGACCTAGTAATTGGGTATGTGGCCAAAGTCAAACTAGTTTTCATCAGGAAGAGGGAAGAATTAAGAAGCCACCGTGAAGTCATCCACTTTTCTCTTATTTTTGTAGAAAAGCAGAGAAAAGTCGGGCTTTTCTATCAAGGGTGATGTGGTTACAAGTGCATGCAGATAGAACCATGCTTTGGGCCTCTTCAGAAGAAAATATTCAGAAATCACTTAGTGATTTTAAAAAGCTATACAAGTGCTTTTAGAGAACTGGGCTAAGCTCGAGGAAAACCAAGAAGTCCGTGACCCCAGGTGCTGCTCAGAGGCAGTGAGGGGCTCTCTTTCCTGGTGCCCAGGCTCCCTTTGCTGAGCTGCGGAGGGGTGGGAGGGAGGCAGCACGCTGTGGGCTCCTCCAAGCCGGCCACGACAACCCAAGATGTCTCTCAGCAGTCACAGAGTTCATGAAACCAAATA